TAGAGGAAGGTTTTATTGTGATTTTAAATATTGTATTCTACTATATGTTTTATTGTATTTTACACTCGGCTTTGCCGCATGTGAGCCGCCCTGAGCCTTTGGGAGGGCGGGATATAAATCAAACTAATAAATAAATAAATAAATAATAAATAAAATTGGACCAGAGGATGGCCAAGATTTTTCCAGTTCATATACTGTTTCAATTGTGGCTGGCAAGTCTTGACGGAGTGTTTGTTCACTCCCTCAAAAAACACTAACAGGTTAGTGAGACAAGATCTTCCCTTACAGAACCCATGCCGAGTCTGCCTCAATAGTTTTTGTTTATCAATGTGCCTACTAATTCTTTCCTTAATAACAGATTCCACCAACTTACCCGGTATCAATGTCAGACTGACTGGCTTGCAATTTCCTGGATCTCCTCTGGAACCCTTTTTAAAGATGGGAGTGACATTAGCTACCTTCCAGTCCTCAGGAATGGAGGCAGATTTTAATGAAAAATTACGTATTTTTGTCAGGAGATCCACAAGTTCACATTTGAGTTCTTTCAGAACTCTTGGATGTATGCTGTCTGGACCTGTTGATTTATCAGTTTTTAAGTTGTCTATCAGTCATAGGACCTCCTCTCTCATCACCTCAATCTGTACTATCATATGGCCCAGTCATGGAAGATAAGGGTTGGGGGTTTTTTGGTTCTCAATAATAATATAAAAATAAATCTTTGTTCTTACAGATCATAATAGGAGAGTTTTATCGGATCCACTGTTTGAAGGAGAAATCCAGATCCTTCATCCAGAACCCATATGTGGCAGCTTTGTACAAACAAGTTGGTTGCTTTGCCTTTGGTTGTGCCATCAGCCAATCTTTCACAGACATTGCAAAAGTCTCTGTTGGACGCTTAAGACCCAATTTCCTGGCGGTTTGCAATCCAAATATTACACTAACCAACTGCTCGAAAGGTTATATTGAAGTTTATCGGTGCCTTAATGCAGATGAAAGCAAAGTCCAGGAAGCCAGGTAAGAAGAACTTCATTTCAATAGAAACAGAATTGTGTAATTTGATCCAAAAAAGATGCCTCTATTTATCTGTATAGTCCTAGATGTGCCATTAAAAATATTTGGGTAATTGACATGTTGAAAAAAAGGAATCTTAATAATTTGAGGTCATACATTGACATACATTGATGGTAGCATTTTTTTTAATATTTGGAAATTTCCTTTTTTTTCTTCCCTAAAATAAAACCTTGTGGAAGCCCAGAGTATTTTGAATTATGCATATTCAATAAATATATGTTGTGTTCATTTACTGTTTGAGAACTGGTGTAGCATAGTTGCTAGTAGTCTTAAGTTTGATTTTCATATCTGCCATGAACTAGATCTTGACCCACTGATTATGACGTGACCTGCCTTACACTGGATGGCTGTCAGAATTATAAAGTGATACATGTGAAATTCTTTGAAAATTCAGAACTCTTTAAAATCATTATTACAGTTATGGTTTGTGGAAGGAACTGTTGCTCAGTATGGAAATGAAACTGAACTCATGGGCAGGTGAACTGAGTTTGAGTCCAGTGACACCTTTAAGACCAAGAAAGTTTTCTTCAAGGCTCATACCTTGAAGAAAACTTTGTTGGTCTTAAAGGTGCCACTGGACTCTCTCTCTTGCATAAACCTTTATTGGCATAACACAGCAACAAGGAGAACAATGAAACAAATAAAAATTAGAACGAAATTACACCAAGCTGTACCGACAAGGGATCGTTTTTAAACTTCTCGGAAATAATAAACTCAGTTGGGAATACTGGACTCAAACTTTGTTCTACTGCTTCAGACCAATATGGCTACCCACCTGAATCTATTTTCAGTGTTAGGTGGTTTGCCTTTTTCAAAAATAAATCAAATGCTTGGATGCTGGCAATAGTTTCCACAAATGTAAGCGAGGTGGAGCAGTTTTTGATGACTGCCACTATTTGCCCCCAGGCTGTTTCTTTTGGATCCCCTGTGCCTCATGAGCAGCATTTCAGGGAGATCAGTGCCATGCAGCACGAAAGGAAGGCAGAAAAGTTCTTTTCCTCTTATGGATGTGCATTTCATTAGAGGAAATTATCACTTGATCAACTGAGCATAACAATCTGGGCCACATGACATCTCTCCAGAATTTTATTTAAATGCCATCGTTATAGTATGTGAGATAGGTGTGGAGGGTAGGAGGGAGGACTCATATATTTCAATGATCTTTACAGAACTGTAACTCTCTGGACATCCTATCAATAAGGAGAACTGAACTACACCTGGGAGTGTGTCCAAGTGCAATGATTTAATTTTCATCAAAGATGTGAATGATACCTATATACACATGTTAAATAATGTAACAGTTCTTGGATTCTCTAGGTACACACGTTAAATTACACCAGTTATTCAAATCCACCTGTTTAGACAATCACAGAGAATACAGTAAACAAATACATTCTTGATTACATTGCTCTGAATATAGAGATATTCTGTTTTCCTTTATTTTTCCTGTTTAGTATTTAAGCCAATCTTGAATTTTAAACTAAGAAAAGACTTGGTGATTCATTTAATAACTTTTGGTCATATGAATCTACCATTTTAATGTCTCTCGTTACTGTACAAAGGTGTTATGTGAATGATGTTTGTCCATTCGTTCACATTGTGTAATGGTGGCTTTACTTTGTTACTTCTTTCTTTCAGGAAATCTTTCTTCTCTGGCCATGCCTCATTCTCCCTCTACACCATGCTTTATTTGGTGGTAAGTGTAATTCTGTTTGGCTTGTAATAAATTATGTATAACATTTACAAGAGGGTACATAATGTATACAGAGTTACATTTACAGAGCTATGTGAAACTACCCTCTTCCAATATATGTTTTAAGGTAGTGAGGTATGTACTGTATGCTTGTGCAGCAAATACTTATCAAGAAGAACACAAGAATTATTTCTGAAAGTCATTTGTACAAACCTTTTACTTGCCACCTCTCTGGAGACCTGCTCACACATTGAAGCCTTATGATCTTAAAATCTTTGTGATTGAGAATAACGTGGCTAAGAGATTAAAAAAAAAATTAATTGGTTCACTCTGTCAAGTTAATCCATGTGAGCCTTTAGTCTGCTCTAGGAATGCTTCTCCCACTGGCTCAGTTCATATCGTGTTCACTTGGTTTTTTGATTATTGGTTTGATAGATCATTGATCTGTTTTTGGGTGTTTGGTAGGTTGTTCCACTGTGTAGTTGCCGTTTCACACACAGGCATTCTCACACAGCCCAGCTGAGTTCTACTACATTCCCATCCTTGCTGTGTAACTGCTCTGCTCAGCAGACAATTGTTTAAATAGACAATTGCATCACTCACAAACCATATATATACATAATCAATGAATGCTGTGTTTCAATAAAATCCTACCCTTCAACATTCATCTGACTAGTCCTTAGTGACACTAATAGCTGCTGATCAATTTGAATTGGCAGGATCTTTGTCCGTGAGCAGTTTTTGGAATACCAGATGCAAACTGGTTCAACAGCTGTTCGGTTCAAATCAAACAGACCAACTGATCAGCTCACAGCCAGTTTGGTGTAGTGGTTAAGTGTGTGGACTCTAATCTGGGAGAACCGGGTTTGATTCCCCACTCCTCCACTTACAGCTGCTGGGTGACCTTGGGCCAGCCATAGTTCTATCAGAGCTGTTCTCTCAAGGGCAGCTCTGGAAAAAGCTCTCTCAGCCCCACATACCTCACAGGGTGTCTGTTGTGGGTTGTGGGGAGGGGAAGGGAAAGGAGTTTGTAAGCCGCTCTGAGACTCCGAGTGAAGGGCGGGGTATAAATCCAATCTCCTCCTCCACCTCCTCACATCAGATCACCACCTTAGAACATGGTGAGTTTGACAGTCAAATGCATTTGCAGCAAAAGGCAGAATCCACAGCATCCCTACTCTGGTGCTGAAACGTTCATGTAACTGGGTGCTAGGGAGCCGCGGGCCCAGTCATGTCTGCAAGCTCCCTGTGTTGGGCACTGCATTCTTTCTAACCTCTCTCCATGTCATCATGCATGATACAAAATTCTGCAGAAGTCCATTTTTTTGCAGAACCGTCTCAACATTGCATTTTATAGCCACCTTGAATCTCATAAAGGTAGGCTATAAGGGCAGTAGGTAAATATATAAGTAAATATGAGGTTGTTTATGATCAATTATGTCCTCCCTGACATTATGGCTTTCAGCTGTATATAAGACTTTATAGAGCAAAAGTAGCAAAAACTGTGATACATTAGATCACTAATGTAGTCAAGAATGTGGAAAAGGGTTCATTTCAGTTTCTGGTCATGATTTCATTTCAAAACGATGTGCCACAGAAGCAGCAGTGCTACCAGATGAATGGAATTAAGAGTTTCCTTCTCAGTACTTGAATGTTTGGGCATTTTTACCAGAATTTCTTGAAGAGAGGCATTAGTATTTCCTGTACCATGATGGACTTTATCAATATATGTTAGAGGACTAAAAATATGTCTACTTGAAAACTGATTTATTATAGAATCAACATACACGGGACCATTTTAAAGGGACAGTGCCATGGAATTTTGTAGATAAAGAATAATGGCAGTCAGCAGCCTCTTCTGTTCATTTTTAATAATGAACGTAGGAAGGTGGCAAGGACTCAGTATCTTATCCAGCTTTAAAAAATCACATCTGTACTGTTTGCTCTACTCCTAGTTTCACTGGACAAAGTAAGAATACAAAAAGTAGGGAATGTAAACCTACACATATTTCACTGTACCAGGGGACATAAGTGAGATGATGTTAGACTACTTATCTTGTATCTCCATACATTTAGCAAAAATTATCTGGTTCATTAAGTTAAAAAAATTGCTTTCTGGGTAGTGTTTCAGGAAGTATGGCAGGTGGACTTCCCAGCCCACATAGTTTCATCGAAAACTGTGGGGCTGATCTTGTTTTTCTTTGTCAATGAAAAATGGCTCTGCCCTTCCTTTCCCCAGCCTGTTATGCCACACTGTTTCCTGACTGTAACTGCTTGAAGCATGCTTGATAGAGGTTGTGAAAGGAACCCAGTGCAGGTCAATTATGGGTGGAACTCCCCTAAGCTCTTTAAAAGGAAAAGAGAGAGAGAGAGAGATTTAGGGAGTGATTTGTGGTAAATGTAATTAGGGAACAGCTTTTTTTTAAAAAAGACTTTCAAAAGATTTGTGGGCCCCGTATCTCCTGTAACCTTAGATTTGAAATGAGGGGAAAAAGCAGGCCTGAACTTATACAAACATTAAGCATGAACTTTTATATATCTATGAACAGACTTTCTACACCACAACTCCTTGTCTTTGCTGTCCAAAAAGATAGATTAACATACAACTCCCTGCTGTTTTTTCTTCTCCTTTCCACTCCACTCCTAAAGCTGGAAGCAGCCTCTGTAATTTAATTACCATACCTTTCGGACTGTTTTGGGATCTGTATGAATTTATTTTCTCAAATTTTTCTCTCACTTTTCTTCAAATGCTTCAAGGTTATTCTGTAACCATTTACACCATTTCCTCTCAGTGATGCTAAAATAACATTTCCTGTGAACTAGGAGGGGATATGCAACATGAAAGATATTAAAACTCCTTTTTTGTTCTCTCTTCCCCACTCCAGACCCCAAGAATTCCTACACAGACTATGTGTCCGGCTATAGCAATAGTGCTGTGTCTTGAGTTTTTTGAATAAATAGTTTGTTTTAACATATCACCACTTTCATTTGTCATGAAATGGTGTTGCCCTTTTCTATAGGGTCACCAGATCCCTTATCTCTGCCAGCGGGGGGCTTTGAGGGCTGTTCTGGGAAGTAGGGGGACATCACACGGGGATGCTCTGGTATTTCGGTGAAACTCTATGGTTTTTCAGCCTCAAAACTATAGAGTTTGCCCAAATACCAGAGCGTCCCCGCACAACGCTTCCAGCTCTGGATTGGGAAATACCTGGAAATTTTGGGGGTATAGCCAGAGGAGGGCAGGGTTTGAGGAAGGAAGGGACTTCAGTGGGGTATAATCCCATAGAGTACACTGTCACCTGGAGATCAGTTGTAATCCCAGAAGATCTCCAGCCACCACCTGGAGACTGGCAACACTATTCCAGTGCAATGACATCACTCCCAAGTGACGTCATCGAGTCAGGGGTGGTACTTTCGGTTTTACTGGAAGTACCCCAAAATGTCATTTGGGGGCAGAGTTTCCTCCCGCTGGCCAGCTGGCTGGTGGTGGGGAAGCCCCCTCCCAGACTGAGGAGCTTCTGAACATTTAAAACATGTTACCTGAAGAACTCATTGTTAATTTTGGATTAATAAAAGAGCAGAAATCTTCAAACAATTGGATGTTTCTGCAAAACTGGGACGGCACATATGGGTTTTATTGTAAAATTTGCCCCTGATAAACTTACACATGCTTAATTGCCGCCATCCAAGCTACTTCTGATTCTGAAACTCTAGAGGAGTTGCTTCTAGGCTTTGTGGGCCTGACTGATAGATTATTTCATTAAAAAAAGCACTGTTCTGCTGCTTTCTTCATTAAAACATACAGCATAACATTTAAAGAAGTGCTGACTAACATCAAACACTCCCACAAGGTCTTAATTTTCTCCTCCTCTTCTTTGGCTTTAGGTGAAGGAAGCTTTCACTGTGGAGTCTGTCCCTAAAGGGCTCTCCTTCTCCTGCTATAGCCCTGTAGGGAGTGCAATTTGCCAGGTTGCACATTTTTGGTTCCTGCAGATTCAGCATTGCATTCCTGAAAGCTGCTTTACACATTATATTTTAAACAGTTTTTTAAATTATAGAACCATGTCGTATACCAGTTAAAACGGTAACATTTAAAAATACAAAAATGTTTTTAGTGTCTCCACTGGGGGGAAAGTACTTTGGGTAGCTGCGGTAGTTTTGTGTGCCTACAAAGCCTAGTATGATGCCAATAACTGGGAGATAAGAACACAAAGGTTTTATGAGGAGTGGCACATATGCTAGGTAACATTAACTTGCAGGTAAGTACAGAAACAAAAACCTCAGGGTGTATCAAACATGGATTCTGATGTCTCTACACTAATACCCAGAGAATGGGAAACAAGCAGAAGGAACTTGAAGGCCTAATACAGGAAGGGGACTATTGTCAGAGTCCCAAGTCAATCATGCTCAACAACAGTCTTTAAGAAAGGTGCAGTTTATTGAAGAAAGCACTTAGGTCATCATATAACACACCTTGTGTCAGGAATGGGGGTAAGGCGGGAAGACAGATAATTATACTCAGTTCATACAAGGGCCCCCCCCCCCCAAGGCACAGGCCAATGAACAGGGGCAAGCAAGCGCGCTCAAAGGAAAAACCAGCAGGAAAAAGCGGCGCGGCTGAGCACAGCTCCAAGGCCACAGGAGAGATAACGGGATGAGCTAGGAGTGCATACCAGAAGGGGGGGCGGTGAGAAGAAGGGGGAAGCTGGAGGTGAGCGGGAAAAACACAATCCATCCCATGGTGGTGTTAGCCAACAACTGTGACCTAATAGGCATTACTGAAACTGGGTGGGATGACACTCACAATTGGAATATTTGGATTGAGTGGTACAACTTATTTAAAAGGGACAGACAAATAAGGAAGAGCAGAGGAGTAGCATTATATGTAAAGGAGGTATATACTTGTGAGGAAATACGTGAATCTGAGCATGGAAGTCCAGCTGAGAGTTTCTGGGTAAAAATAAAAGAAATAATAGTGATATTATGGTGGGGATCTGCTGTAG